TAATCCAAGCAGCTCTCCCACAGCCACCAGGCAAATATTTGAAGAGGACACCTGCATTCTTAACTTTTATTTTCAGAGACTGTCAACATTCACAGGAAAACAAGAATCCCTTCTGTAAGTTGGCTCTGGTCCCCTGCTGATTGCGCGCAACTACTCATAGAACAGCCTATTCTCTCTCTCTCCTTTTTTCCTCCTTGCCTTTCAGTTCTTTCCTTCTCTCCCTCTGTCTCCACCTCCACTCCCAGCCCTGATTCTCTTCCTGAAATAATTACTTCAATAGAACACCTACAGTGAAGGAGAAATTTTATAAATTATCCACTTAGTGAATGTTAAAATAAGGTATTAATTATACAAACTGTTCAAATCTGAGCCTGATATATACCCTTGCAGATTTCCTGGCCGTATCTCTACAAAGATGACAGCGCTGAAACTCATACGGAAGTCCCCTTCTGCTCCTGCCCCACCCGCACTGAGCCTCCCTTGCTCTGGAACCACAACGTGACACCAAAGTTACATCTAGATGACCATGGCTGCCTCAGCCCTCCTTGCCTCATGTTCTTTCCCTTCAGCTTCCATCTGAAACATAACACCTTCAATCATCCTTCATCTCCTTTAGGAACACTTTCACACTGTTCTGCCCTTTAAGTTCTGAAATCTTGCATTTATGACCCTGGCGCCTACTTCCATGATAAGCAGCCTTATTAAATCTTCGCTTTCTTCATTGACCCATCCATCTACCTCTTGCCTCAATAAAGGCTTGCTAATACACTGATGATATTATTATTATTTTGCACAGACGTATACTTTTTGCCACGCTCAACGACATGGTTGAATGCCTGAAAGTGAGGTTAGCATTCTTCTACCTCTCCAAAGCCATTTCCAAAACATTACTCTTCTACCCCTGTGGGGAAGAGTCTCCCTCCTCTGTGATTAATACTGTATGTCTATGCTGCCTCACCTTGTCTTATCGCAATCATTAGCCAACACCTTAGTTCCCTACAGCTGATGAAACCTTTTATGTTTTCTTTCTACTGTGTAATTCTAAGCATCAGCCATCAGCATTGAGGTGATTTGGGTATGCATGTTGATAATTAATCCAATACCCTAGTTCTTTCTGTTCCATGTGATGTCCTGAATTTAAATGAAATTTCATTTCTATCCTACCTTCATCACCAACACACTCGGTCACTCTGTGACTCTGGTTGTTATTATTATTATCAGAAACACCAAGCCTAAATATTTTACTTTCTGTTTGTAGCTTTAATGTTTTTAATTCTTTCACACCCTCAACTTTAATTTTTTTAAAATCACATAGCCCCTCCTATTTCCTTGATGTAACAGTCTTCTCTCAGTAGTTCAGCTCTCTTTTGCCTTCACTTTTGTGGCTCTCTGGGCATGTTTTATGGTCTCTGATCAATACCGTCAACTATGTTTCATTTCTGCCTCTGTTTCATCCTCCCAGCAAAACTACAACCCTAGGTCTAAGCTACCGACTTCCTGAGGCTAAGGAAGTTTGAACAAAACAAGTCAGTCCTCAAGATTGATGTAACCACAAAAGTCATATTCTCCAACCTCAGATGGTACCTCAACCTTGCACAACAATTTTCGTCATCCTTGGTTAATTACTTCTGTTCTCCACAGCAGTTACGCTAACCCTTCACTTCCCCACTGTCTCTCAGCAGATGACTTTACTTTCCTGCTTCCTACTTCAAAGCAATTGAGGCTTCTAAGTATCAGATACCTCACTCTGCTGCCCCAAATTCATTGATGTCAGAATGTGTCTGCACTCTCTTTTCTATAATCTCAAAGGACAAGATGTTAAGCAGAACTGGCTGCTACAACAGGCATTGGTGAAATACCTTAGCCCAGTGATCACAGATACACGTTTAGGTTTATTTGAGACATAATTGCCAAATCTTCTTTATTTGTTTGTTTTTAAATTCCCATGTATCATTTTCTCAACATAGTGGCAGCTGGCTTGGAGACTGCTTTCACTGTTCAGGGAGTTACAAGGTTGCCCTGTGTTCGTTCAGGAACTTGCAGCTCAGGATTTCCCTCTCTGCTTTCTCTTCAGAGGCCACCCACATATTATTTCTGACCATCAGGATGACTTTGGTTTTCGTAGGCTCTCTTTGACCATCTCTTTCCCTGGCCTTCCCATTAAGCTTCTGGCTGGTCTCTCTTATCGTTATCACATCCAGCTGTTAGACTCTTAATTTCCAGATGATTGCTCTATCGTTTTCAATAATGCCCTGGGTTATGCTTTGTAACAGTCTGAACCAAATAAAGTTAAACACTTTGGCAGGAGCAGAGTGTTGCCCTTCTTTCAGGCTTGCTCCATCCTTTCATTGGGTGGATGCAGAGGATGGATGCAGCGTGGTATAGAACCTCTGCACTATTGAGCAGGGGGCACTGGGAACTCCGTCTTCACCAGCTTCCTCATCTGCATCCTCCCTATGTGTGTGTGGGGGGGATGCTGGCAACAGAAATTGGTGTCTGTGAGAGTAGTGGTTCAGTTTGTGTACTCTCCTTTGGTGGCCCTGAGTTTGCCAGTTTGAATCCTGGGCGCAGACCTACACATGGCTCGTCAAGCCTTGCTGTGGCAGCATCCTACACAGAAGAACTAGAAGGACTTACAACTAGGATACACAACCACGTACTCGGGCTTTGTGGAGGGAAAACGAAAAAGCAAAGAAGGAAAGAAATTTGTGCTTCAGCTTGGCTGCCACTACCACATGGTATGGATCTTCTGCAGCTCAGAGTTGGGAGAATGGGATCTGCTAATATTCACTGGCCATCAAGTCTACCCAGAATAGCTCTTCCGCCTCAGGAAGCAGAGGAAATGGAATTTGCATTTTGGCTGCTGAGCCCACTGCAGTAGCTCTACCTTAACACAGAACTTTAAGGAAACAGGGGACTACATGTACTGTTTAGCTTTTGCTGCATTTGTATCCTCCTTATGTAGGGGGAGTTGAGAGTAGAGAAATGGTCACACTGCCTTGCTGCCGCCACTTGCTCAGTATAGACCTTCCATAGCATGGAGCTATGGGAAGTAAGTTCCGCTGATGCTCACTGGCTGCTGAATCCACCCAGAATAGCCGCTGCACTCGGGGATCTGAAGGAGATGGGAACTGTTGGAGCAATCTTCTGCAGCACAAAGCTGCAGGGTATGGATGCAACCTTCAGCTCGAGTGTCATGGCCTCCGATGCTCTTTAGTAGTCTCCATAGATTATATTGAATTAATGTTCTTAAATTTTTGTAAGCCCTTTGATCAATCTCCAAAGAAGTTGAATGATTGGCTTTGCTAATTTTGACTAGTGTAATAGACATCTCTCTGGGGGAGAAATCTCCTGAAGCTTCTCACACTGCCATTCTAAAAGTCCCACCTCTGAACTCATTATATTTTATCCAAAAATCTGATTCTCTATTGTTAATATCACTCAATAAATTTGCTGTACATCCAGGTAGCCAAGCAATAAACTGCAAGTTTTCCCAGATTTCTCTGTTTCCTTCACCTTATACCCAATTGATGACTAAATTCTTGTCAATTTTCCCTCCCGGATAAGTCTCAAATCTCTCTGTGCTTCCCTAGTCACACTATCGCTGTTCTACATAAGACCCTCATCTTCTCTCTCCTGCACTCTTAGAATGGCATCCTAAATAACCTCCATGGGTTTATTCTTGGCTACCTTAAATCTATCCCTCCCACTCCATTCAGAATAACCTTTATAAGATGTGAATCATTACAATCACCCGCTGAACACCCTTTAATGACTTGCCTATAGAATGAATTACTAAATCCTAGCGTGGTTTTATGGCCTTATACTTGAAGATCCTCTACAGTCTCAAATCTTTCCACTCTGTCTTGCCTTTTATTCCTTGGTAATGAAAAAATGTCTGTGTGTTCCACTTATGCCATTTATTTCACGTTTTCATTTCTTTATACAGACTGTTCCTTTGCCGAGAATACCTATCCATCTTCCTTTCCTTTGATAATTTTTAGTCATGCTTCAAGACTCAATTAAGGTGCTTTATTTCCCAGAGAGGCTTTTAGGGTCCCCGGGTTGAGCTAAGTGTCCCCTTTTGTGCCCCCATTGAAAACCTCTTTATATCACCAATTGAATTTTATTATCTGTGAAAGTTCCTCCTGCTGTACTTTCAGTTCCATGAGTCAGGGGTTATGTTCTTTCCTTTCTACTCCCCAATGGCTTCTCATTGTTCTGAGGCTGGATATTGAAAGCCTTAAAATGACCAATAAGGCTCTGACTAATCCATATAATCTCCTTTCTTGAGCTCTTTTCAGATGCTGTTCTGTTTGGAATGGCCTCTCACACTCTGCCCCTCCTCTTGCCTCTCCTCAAATGCTGACACCCATATTCCTTCCTCTTGTTAACTTGAACTCATCCTTCTGCTTTCACTTCAAACACTGTTTTATTAGGGGAAGATTCCCTGACCCTAAAATTAGTTTAACTCTTCTTACTTACACCCCTTTTACTGTTTCTTCATAGCAGTTTGTAATTATGCATTTTTCTGATTATTTGATTAATGCTTATCTTTCCCTAGGAGGATTGAACTCTGTGCTGGCAAGGAATGTGTTTCCTTTGCTTTTCCTTTTAGCCCCTACTGGTTTGCACAATGCCTGGCACTTCAAACACATTCAATCAATAAGCAGGTTGAATAAGCTTACCAATGGTTAACACTTTTCTGATGACACCAGAGGCTGATTCAATGATTCATGTATAGCAGACTTTATGATTTTGAACTGAAGTTAATGTTACAAAAGACTGGCATTTGTGATATATTTAACAGTGAAAATTAAAACTATTAGGAAACACACAAAAACAAGTCATATTTACATTTCGATTTTCAATTTTCCACTGAATATTTTTATTGGCAACAAGGTGCATTTAATATATTCAGCATTTGGGGTCTGTCAATAAGATAGACTAGGCTTAGGTTTCTACAAGTGTATGAAAATATCGGTCTTCCTTTTTCTCAGCAGGAACTCCTCTGTGAAGTCTTGGTTGGAGCCCTTCCACCTCCTGACCTGTCACATCAGTAAATCAACCTCCCCCAGGTGAGTTCTCCTTCTGAGTAGAACCTACCTCTATGATCCCACTTGAGCATATTAGATTATTTGGTTACATTCCTGTCTTCTGTGCTGGAAGGTGGGCTCTCTGGGGAAGCAAATTTGTCATTTTGGTCTTCATATCCTCAGCATCTACCGTGGTATCTGGCACAAGTAGGTTTTCAGTTAATATTTGTTCACTGAATAAATGAATCAATTAATGAGTTTCTCAGAATCACTAAATGCTTTTCATAATGGAAATTACAATAAATGGCTTAGCCTAGAATTACTTCAACTGAAAAAAGCCTTTTTCCTCACAATAAGTAAGCCAAACAATTAATATATTTTCTGAATTTTCTTTCTGCTTGACATATTTCGTTTACTTTTAATCTATTTGCCATTTATTCATGTAATGGCTTCCGTGTGCTATCTTCTCTTGGGGAAACTTTTACTGATTTTGAATAAAACACTAAATCTAAAATTGAGTATTAGGACAATTTAGAATAATTAAGAGAGTGTGGTTCTAATCCCATTATCAGAATAAGAGTAATTTTTTCTTGGATTTCCATATAGCAACTTCCTTTTAAGTCTCTAAAATACATAAAGAAAAAAAGAAATTCTCAGTTTTGTGATCTAATTTGTGAAGTGTTTATTCTAGTCAGAATCCTCCCCCACAAATCATAATGGTACAGTAAAGTATAATGGAAAATAACAACTCCAGTTATGTAATATTTCCCATCAAAAATCTCATTGGCACTCTAAAGACATTTCATTTCTTTTATAGTGTGTGTGAGCAAGTGTATGTGTACAGGTTATCTGTGCGTCTTTCCCAGGCTGGATCATTACAGTCTGCCAATGGGTCTGCAGTTGTTTTTATTTGTTACCAAAGAAGATTTGATCTAATGTACTATCTAATGTGCTGTTGTGCTATGTACTGTGTGATGTTATGGACACATGATACAAACAGGATTTTTGACCTCAGGCCAGGTTTTAGAGCATCCTCAAAGCCCCTGAAATTGGCCGTGCAATGTATTTTTGACATTGACATCCCTTGGAGAGGGATGGTCTTTGAATAAAAAATGAGCAATTCTGAATCCCAGTTCTCTTGACAACTCTTGTTATCCTTCCACTGGATAGGTACAAAGGTTCTAATACCATCCCAATTCTGAGCCCTCTTTGATTTAGCCAGCCTGTAACACATTCCATTAACATAATGATTTGCTTTTACTCAAATAAATTATTCATTGGTTAGGAAATTTGAGAATTCTGTTGTTTAAAGGAAACATTCAAAATACATTGACCTTTTTTGTCTTTATTGCCTACACTTTGATTTTTAATTTTTTTTTTTTAAATCTCAGCTGGTCACTTCAGTAAAGTCTGATAAGTGAGTGGGATTCTAATAGCTAAGAAAGCTAATCAGTTGGCAGAGACAGTAGCACATCAACTAGAAGACACTAAGAGTGCATGGACTGAATAATGTCTGCCATCCTGCAAGCTCATTGGAGTAAAAACGACTGAGGTGTTAGCTTTCACTTCCTCTGGTATGAGTAAAGGGCAGCATTTAAGACATGCTAACAATGTTAGAGCATGGCATAATGATAATAAGAAAAAAACGCCAAAGTGAAAAGGGTAAAAATAACATGTCTCAAAAGTTGCTTACTTCTGTGTAACCAGTTGCAGAGGCTGACTTGTAATTATAGAAGAAAAATGTAAGCAAAAAACTAAAATATGGTTTAATCATTTCCCCTAATAAGATTAGGTTTAATTCAAACAAACCAACAAACCAAAAGATTTAAAGAGAGAAGAAGATCAAAAAGATTGCTTATGAAGCTATTTCCCATGCTCTGCTGGTCCGTATTTTCATCCGTTGGTTGGGACCTGTCACATTATGTCCTAACGTAATGACGTCTTTGATAACATGGACAAGCGCAAGCAGAAATAGAACAGCAGCCACAGACAGGCTAATTTACACTGCTCTTTCCGGCATTGGAATTAACTTCGCATGTGAATTTTTGCTCCATCTAGGCCAAATGCCATTCCAAAAAGCAGCCTCATTTGAACCTCCACAGTGTACTTAATAAATATGCTCAGGATTTCAGTGACTGTGGCAGAACGGAGGCTGAACACTACCCAGTGTCAAAATGTGTTTTCCAGCCCTCTGTCAGAGTCCTTTAGCACAGCAACATTTGTAATTTCTGAACAATTCCCATAAAACTTAGGGGTCGTTGACCTGAACTAAACTCCCTATGGCTAGCAATGTCATTCTCTCTCTCGTTTCACTTTCCAGGTTGACAAAAATCAATACTTTCTCTCACAGAATTCTGACTTTCCAAGCCCCGTTCGGGTTCATGTGAAATGTGGACAGCACATAGAGGACAGGAGCTGTTACTTTATCTTCCAGAGCTCTTTCTTGTCTTCATCCAAGCAGAAGCTAATCCTAGAAGTATTATAAGAAACAATCATTTTGAAATTAATTAGTTTTGGATTTTTTGATGGAGTGAGTGTAATTTTTAAAAATAATTCACTGTGTCATTAACATCCAGCTTCAATCAAACTACTATTAAAATAAAATCTTTGAGCCTAATGTGCATTATTAACTTCCATTTTATGTTTGATAACACTTATTGCTGATTTATTCTTAAAGAAAATGAAGTTTATAGTTACTGTATGCTTTAAATTAAAAAAAAAATCTAAAAAGAACGTAAAAGCTGTGACCTCATTTGGTTTTGCTCTGCACCTCTCTGAAAAATGAGGAGAAATGGATTTGTAATAGACTCTTTCCATTTCTTTCCTTTTGGAAGAAGATCTTCATGCTGTGTAGCTTTCCTAAAATTAGGGTGATTAGACATTCTGAAAAGGGTTCAATTTCCTATTGTCTGGGCTGGCAAAAGAGAATTGAATCTCTTCTGTATGATAAGTCCACTTCTATGCCATGCTCTAAGCTAAGAGTTGGCAAAGTCTTTTTCTCTAAAGGGCCAGATAGCAAATATCTCAGGCTTTGCAGGTCCTACATTCTGTGCGGCAACTACTCAACTTCTGCCACGGTAGTGTGAAAGCAACCATAGATAGCATGTAAATGAATGTGTGGCTGTATTCTAATTCAACTTGATTTACAAAATCAGGTACTGGAGCAGATTCAGCCCATAAGTCCTAGTTTGTCAACCCCTGCTCAAAGCCAATGATTCTCACAGTTTAGTTCACATTGGAATGATATGGGAGTTTGACCCTGGTCTGTATTGGGGCTCCACCATATACCCAGTAAATAGAATGGATGCATTCTGATTCCATATACAGAGTATACGAAAGCAGAATTTAGACATTTAATAAGCAATTCAGGTGATTTTGATGAAGCTCAAAGTATACATCATTACTCTAGGACGTATTATTCTTGAGAATTTCATTCTCTGTTTCTTGGATGAAGGACTCAATTGTCTTGATTTTCTCTGATCCTTAGGAAATATTCTTATGGATTTACACCAGTCTGCTTCCTTGGTACTTATCCAGATACAGGGGGTTTTGAGTATGGTAGTGGTGGGAATCTTTCTGCAACAGTAGTGTGTCAGGATACATACTCAACTGTCAGGGTGAGCAAATTCATGGAAGGGATGGTTGAGAAACAACACCTTGCCAAGTCTATAATCCTAGTGCCCAGACATTGTATGGCATCTGTGCTCTGGAAGTCAGAGTATCTAAAATAAATAACAGAATAATGATTTAAAAATTTTAAGCACTTACTGTGTGCCTGAAGCCACTCAAATCTTTATATCGATAACATTTAATTACATACATCAATCTTTTGGCGTAGGTGATATTACTACCTCCCCCACCCCACTCTGCTGTTTGTTTGTTTGTTTGTTTTTACATATAAGGAAAGAGAACGACAGAGAGACTAAGGGGCTTTCTCAAGTCCACACAGTCAACGAAAGAGTCAGAGTTTTAGCCCAGACAGCCTCACCGCAGAGGCCAGGCTCTTAACCTCTATTCTATACTTATTTTTTTCATATTAGGCAAGAAGAATGCATAAAAGAAAAAATCAACAATAATGCAATGTAGTTGAAAGAAAAATTAAAAAATTACCAAAGCTATGTAATACTAGGTAGCTGATTTTAAGAAAAATACTTTAAAAACGTGTCTGATGATAATAATAAAGGAAAGCTAAGGGGGAATTTGGATTCCCGACAACCTCCATATCATAATGTCCTGAAGCAGAGCTCTTTAGAAAAGATGTATTTAGAAAGAATCCAGGTAGAGGAGAGTCAACTGCAGGATGTGGTGTGGGGAAAAAAAATCCATCGTTAAACAGATTCAGAGTGTTTTACTTAATGTGATGAAAAACATCAAGGATGTTGGTTCTACAATGACTGTGGTTTAATTGAATTCTTTTAATAATGTGAATAGAGACTTCTAAATAAACCAACATGAGGTTCTTGAGAATCCGGGGAACTACTTGTTTATAAAGCTGGAGGCAATTAATCTATTCTGCACCAGTGTACACAAGAAAGTCTATTAAACTACAGAGCCTGTGAAACGGTGGCGCTCAGAAGGGCTGGTAGAAGGCAAGTCTAGCATTTGCACAACAGAAGACAACATAGTAAACCCAAAAGGAAGTTTAAATGCTGGGGCCCAATTCCAGGAAGTATTTGGTATAAGAACTGAGCTCCATAAGCGCGCACACCACATTTGTCTCCTTTACTGTTATATTGCCCCCGTGCTTGGCATCAGGGTAGACATTCACTAAATAAGAATTTACTGACTGACTCAAGACTTGGTGACTAGGACAGCAATTATACCAGATTAGAAGTAAATATTCTTGGGCTTTTCTATACTTGTGATATAATTTAACATTTATAAGGATGTCAATAAAATACATTTCTATCCCATGCAAAGGGATTAAATGTCCAGTGCCCCCAAGAGTTTCAGGGCAAGCGCCACCACCTAAGGTACTTACCTCATGCAACTCAGAAATCCAGATTGTTCTTTAGAGGTTCATTTGAAGTAAGTTAGAGAAGAATTTTTCTCTGGTATTTTATCTTATTTGTATTTCTAAAGAAATCATAGAGACCGTTGGGGATCAAAATGCAATACTTATTTTATTTATATGATTGTGTTATGACTGACTTTTATCATTTTTATATACGCATTAGATATTTTATTTTTGATTGACCATCTTAGACCATCAAAGCTGTAAAGAAGGCGTTACTTATGTAGTAAAGAATATGAATAAAGAAACATTCCTTTGCTCAAAGATGATGTGAGAAATCTTTGTTTAAATGCAGATGTTATAATTATCAATTCAAAAATATATAGATTTCCTTAAGCAAGCAAAAGACTTACCTTACCCTTTTAAATCTGGGGTTTCTTTTCCTAAGAAGCTGAAGGTAATCAAGGCTTGCAAACTAAGGTGCATTGAAAATCCAAACACAAGTGATCTTTTGAGAAAGTAAATAATCTATTTCTTAATGATGCTTCATTGCTGTGAACTGAGTCTCATTAAATAGAAATGACAAGAGTGCATTTGCTCATCACAGAGCATGTGCTACCCCAGGCCCTCCTATTTCCTTTACTTCCCCCATACAACTCCCAAGACTCCCCAAAGGCAAGACCTTGGGAAAGACTAGGACACTATATGCACATGGGAACTCCCTATGAGCTCATCTCTTCATATGCATGGATGTGTGTGTGTGTGTGTGTGTGTGCTCTATTGTACACTGCAGTGGAACGATCGCCAAAATAGAGTGCAAATACAGGCTTATCTTTCTTTTTTTTTGGATAAACAGTAAAATACTATATATTCCACTTTCATTCCTCCTGTTTTTCACTTAACCATTGTAGGGAAGGAAGACATTTCCTCTACCCTCTCTGGGTTCGTCTGGCTGGAGAACAAATTAAATTCACGTGAGACAGAATAGCAGGAGAAAATTAAACAAAGCTTTATGAGGACCATGGCCCAGGGCCTTTCTTCCCGAAGGAAAAAAGGGCACCGAAGAAGTGGGGTGCACAGAGTGGTTATATACCCCCAAACAGGATATTTCACATATGATTGAAATGTCACTTTTATAACAGTCGCGAGACTGCTCTGCCGGCACAGAGATTGATGGACAAAGCAGGTAGGTCTGCTGTCTCAGTGAAAACAGCAGGGTGGCAGGTCTGTTGTCTCCAGCTGGGTGGTCATAGGTGAGCTGGGTGGTCAAAGGTGAGTGCAGCAATCAGTTCCTAGCCTAAGGAAAGATGCTTATCCTTAAGGAAATTCCAATGTGGGGGGAAGTTGCACCTTTATCTTAAGGCCATTTGTTCTTGCCATAGTAAACGTTTAAAGCAGATATACAATGCGTGCTCAATGGCCACAGTCAGGCCCTTTTGGAAAAAAGCAAAGTCAGGCCGAATTAGGTTTGCACCAAATGGCTTCCTCACGCACTCCAATATATCCTATTGCTTGCCATTTCTATTTGTCAATGTATACATGGGAGAGGCTCAGGCAAGCGGAGCAACTTGCCAAAATGGCCGAAACCACCACCCCAAATATCATATCCAGCTAAAGACAAAGGAGGTTGTTGGGGGTGGGGGAGTCAGTTACAGGAGGTTACCAGACAAGCACAATAAACAAATACAGATTTAAGTCCTTGCCTTCCCCATTGATTAAGAGTTTCTAGAGATAAGGTCATCCCCCCTTCTTCCTGGTAGAGAGGGAGATATCTTTACAGATGGAGAGTTCCTCTACAATGTAAAAGTCTCTTACAAAGGGTAAGTAAATTCTACCTTTCAATTGCTTTCCTGTCTGCAAAGTAACCAGCGGCAAATAATCGTCATGCCAAAAAGACATATCTTGGGGTGGCCAATTCCAGGCCCCCCACCATATATCCCAAAGATCACCCATAGTAGTATACAGAGATGGTTCACGTCCTTTTTAAAGTTGCACAGCCTTCCAGAGTGTGAACGTATAGTAGTTCATTTAAAATTTTAGGTTTACAAATGATGTCACAATAATTAGTCTCATAATACATTTTTTCACATTTTTGCCAGCATATGTTTTAGACAGACCTCTGAGAGGAGAATTGCAGCCATAACAGGTAAAGTGCATATGTTCATTTTCCTAGTTATTGCCAAATTGCTATATTTGAGAGTGTTTGCTTTCCCACAGCCTTATCAAAAGAATATGCTGTCAAATTTTCAGGTTTTCAAATCTGACAGTAGATAAATGAGTATTTCAACGTAGTTTTTGTTTGCAATTCTCTTACTATAAGAAGGCTGAATATCCTTTCTTAAGGTTAAGGTCTCTCTGCATTTCTTGTTCTGTGGACTGTCTGTTTCTATAATGTTGTTAGCCTCTGTCTTCGTTTTTAGAAGCTCTTTGTATAATAGGGATATCAACTCCTTGTGATATAAGTTGTCATTATTTCTTAATTTTTTGTCTGTCCTTTTTCTTTGCTGGTGTGTGTTTTGCCATACAAGGGATTTTCTTTTTGAAATTTGGTGTAATTAAAATTAATCTTTTCTCTTATTGATTTTGGATTTTACGTCATAATTAGTAAAATTTCCTTTGCTCCCAAATTATAGAGAAAGTCAGATATATT